ATATATATATATATATAGAGAGAGAGAGAGAGAGAAGAGGAGGAGGGTTAAATTGAGAAAAAAAATATTGAGAATGGGGGATCATTCTCAGCCACACATTTATTTTGACACTAAACACTTAGGCGTACCGCCGGAAATGGATAACGGATAAACATGTGTTTTTCAATCAAACATATTTCCTTAAACTATGGTAATCATTACTTTAATATACACAAAAACATACTTTTTTTTGTTTTTTTTTTATTTTTAGAAAGTCATTATTATCGAAAAATTATATTAAATATATCAAAATTCATAACTTTTTATTCTCTATAAATAGAAATCCATATTGATATACTTTTAAGATAAAATAAAAAAAGATTAGAATTCCAGCTCTCGTTATTCCTTAATGTTGACGTTTACCCGCCGTTTACCATCATTGGAAACCTTTTTTGAGATCTGAGAAAAACAAGAAGCAAACAGAAAGAAAACAACAAGGAGTTTGGGAGAGAGATGAGTTTCTAAAGCTGTATATAAAAATGTTTACAATTTGATTTTCGTTTACAATGTTTTAAACTATGTTTTGTCATCTTTCATTTTGTTACAGATATAAAGCTTCTTTCTTCTCTTGTGTTACTGATTTGAGTTTCAAATCCAAATATATGAAGTTCTGATGTTGGTGTGTTACACATCTAAAGTTCGTGTTATTGGTTTTATGGTCTTTTTATTTTTATCATATTAAAAAATGTTTCAGATCACGAACGAAATAAGTTTATGAAGAAATGTGTGTAAACACGATTTTGTTATACATTTTTGTTTATGTGTGATATAAATTCCGATTTTATTATTTTTTTTCTTTGTTTTGGATTTTTTATGATACTAATGGGTCTATATGAATATGAGGATGTTTTGGCAAATGTGAGTTTATCTATTTGTGTATTGTTTATGTGTTTGGTTGTTTGTTTATGCTTATTATTTTATATGAAAATCTAATTTGATATTTGTTCTACAGATTTTGTTTGAATACGATTCTTTTTATTATGACAAATTTTCTTGATGTATAATTTCTGAAAGGAATTGTATTTTGAGCTTTTAGATTTAAGCTAGATTTGTGTTTCTAGATTTTGTTTGTTTTTTTTTTAATTTTTTAAATTTTAACATGGTTTTATCATTACATCGTTTTAAATTGTGATCTCATAAATTTGGAATCCATTATATATAAAAGTGATTGTAATTCTACGTTGTCAAAAGAAATTTATAAAGCTTTATTTACTGTTTTAGTTCAAATTTATTTTCATAAAATGTTACAAAACAATATAAATTTATTTTATCTTTTTAAAATATCATGAACAGCTACAACAATTTTACAATATATTGATTTGTTTTAATTTTAAATGAACGGTTTTGTTTTTTCAAAATAAATTTATATCTAAAATAAAAAAAATTTACAAAAAGTTTACAATATTTTGATTCGTTTTAAATTTATATCCAAAAATTAATATTTTTTTTTTTTTGAACTGGCAAATAAAATAAATAGATAAACAGGCATCTAGCAAGTAACTAGAAGCTGCAGAATGAGTACAAGTAGAATAATTTAAATTGACAGATTACAAACATGAAAATGGATTACTACACCAATTATGCCACACCATATTAGAGTTTTCCTTCCTATTTTTCATCCACAAGAACAATGTGGACTAAATGATATCAGCACATTTAGCTGGGGGAGTCTTGGAATTATGAAACACTCTATCATTTATTTGTTTCCAAATACCCCAAAGAACACCATAACAAATCCCCAAGAGCAACCTCCTTTTGCTTTGATTATTCGACCAATTGTAGGCAAAATCCAGCAACTCGACCACGGTTCTTATTGGGGGCATCATCACACCGCACCATTTAAAGATCCAGCTCAGTACTTCAGTTGCATATTCACACCCAATCAAAACATGATCCGAATCTTCCTCCCATTCATCACAAAGACTACATTTTATATCTCCCACTGATACCCCACGTTTTACTAGTGCTAACTTTGTTGGAATTTTTCCCAGCCATGCCCTCCATATAAAGCAAACCACCTTTACTTGAATTTCACGAATCCATTCGAATTTCCTCCCGGAGATAGGTAAGCTCCTATCCCACATTTTTCGTAGCGCATTGACAACAAAGATGCCATCCGAAGTTAGCCTACATGTCCAAGATTCAACTGCAGAATTTGTTTGTTTACATAAGATGTCCTCAGATGCTATGTTCTTTTTTCTCAGCTCTTTACATACCCCGGCAATATTTTTCCAAGTACCTGGTAGTCGATTATTAGCATAATAGTCATCTGGTTTTGAGTTCAAATTATGTATACCCTTGATAACCGCAGCCCAAATTGTTGATGCTCCAGTCCTCAATCTCCACCACCACTTAACCATTAAGGAGATATTCAAAGATTTGATCGTTCCCACACCTAGACCCCCAACCTCTTTAGATGCAGTAACAGTATCCCATGCGACCCAGTGGATCTTCCTTTTGTCTCCAGAATTTCCCCACAGAAACTGCCTTCTAATGCTTTCTAGTTTGTCAATCACCCCTTAAGGTGCAACAAATAAAGAAAGAAAATATGTGGGCAAATTCCCCAACACCGATTGCACCAAGGTCAGCCGGCCCCCGAATGAGAGAGTTTTGGACTTCCATTTCGATAGTTTCGCATGAAACTTATCAATAACGGGACTCCAATGTTTAATAAGGTTCATGTTTGCCCCTACTGGTACCCCCAAATAGTTGAAGGGTAGTTTTGCCGGTTCACACCCGAGAGGTCTTGCACGCCTTGTAACCTCATGCGTGCTTACACCAACTCCAAATACTCGTGATTTGTTGAAATTCACCTTTAAGCCCGATGCAGCATGAAAGCAATGAAGAATTCTCGACAGATTTTTGATATTATCCTCCGACCACTCACCAAGAAATAACGCATCATCCGCGTATAGTAGATGAGATATGACCGGCCCTCCATTTGGAATTTTAATTCCATTAAAAACACCTCGTTCACAGTCTGCCCTCATAGATACCGATAGTCCCTCCATAGCAATGATGAAGAGAAATGGGGATAGCGGGTCTCCTTGTCGGACAACCTTTGTGATGGGGAATTCATTCGTCGGGCAACCATTGATGAGTATTGATGATTTTGCAGATTCCAGACACCCTTTAATCCATCCTCTCCATATGTCTCCAAAAGCCCATTGATTTCATATTTGCATCCAAAAACCCCCAATTAATAGAATCAAATGCTTTGTTAAAGTCGGCCTTGAATAGCAACACCTTCTTCTTCGACGCCTTGGCCCACGAGCACACCTCATTGACAACAAGCGGACCATCAAGTATATTTCGCCCCTCCAGATAAGTAGATTGTACCTCATCTATACAATTTCCCAGTACCTTCTTGAGCCTTCTTGCTAGAAGCTTGGAAATGATTTTATAGATGGAGCCTATGAGACTTATGGGTCGATAGTCACTGAGAAAGGACGGGTCCTTGATTTTAGGAACCAGGGATATGAAAGAGGAATTACACGATTGATCAATCTTCCCGTGCCTCTCGAAATGTTTTACCACCGCAGCTATGTCTCCTAAAAGTACATCCCAATATTTTTTATAGAATTTGAACGAAAAGCCATCTGGTCCTGGGGCCTTCTCATTACCACAATCCCATACCGCTTCTTTTATTTCTTGGAGGGTAAAAGGGGTTTCAAGCAGCTCATTGTCAGTCTGGAGGATCTGCTTGAAATGTCTGCTAACAAGTTTAGGTCTGGAAGGCCATCTCTCCTTAAATTTTTCAGCAAAAAAAGTGAAAGCCTCCGTCTTGATTAGACTCGGATCAGTACACCAGTTCCCATTTATCATAATACCATGAATCCCATTTTTCCTGTTGTTGCTGTTCACATACCCATGAAAAAATCTGGTGTTCTCATCACCGTCAACAGCCCATTTGATTCGTGATTTCTGTTTGATGTCTAACGCCTTGAATTTCTCTATTTCCGCCACCTTCTTAAAGCTATCTCTTCTTTGCTCAAGCTCCACTTCTGTAAGGTTTCTCTTTTCTGCCTCACGATCTAATCTTTCGACAACAAGTTTATGATTACGTAGCTCCACTTCCTCTTTTGGATGATCAGTAGCCCTCCATTCCTTAATACCCTTCTTGACATGTTTTAGCTTGGCAGCTAGGTATTGGTCTGGTGTACCAAAACCCACAAAGTTGTTCCAACTGGTGATGAATGCCTTTTCAAATCCGTCTCTAAGCATCCAAGAACTGAATAATTTAAATGGGGGTCTGCCAAAATTTCGTCTATTGTTTGATAGAAGAATCGGGCAATGGTCCGATAGTTCTCTAGGTAATGTTGTGACTGTAACATTAGAGGCAATGTCAAGGAAACAGGGGCTGTGAAGGAAGCGGTCCAGCTTACTTAGCTTTGCATCGGCATCCCTGAAACAAGTAAAACGAAATCCTCCCATCTTTGGCTCCATTAATCCTGAGTCCCTGATGAACTCGTTGAAATCACGGGCAGTTCTTCGGCAAAAAACAGAGTTAAACCTCTCCTCAGGTCTTCGAACAGCGTTAAAATCCCCCATGAGGATCCACACCCCATCCTTGGTTTCAATTATTTCTTGTAATTCCTTCCACAGTCTAGCCTTATCCGCCACCGATTGTGGTCCATATACATTAGCAAAAATTACGGGCTTCTGAACACCCACCCAACTCCCAATATTAATCAGATAATGCCTAGAGGAAATGACCTCCAATGATTTGAATAATCTTACATCCCATAGATTCAGAAGTCCCCCAGACCTACCATAAGAATTGATGCGACTAACACCGACCTCGCTCGATCCCCAACAAGCAACAACATCAATATGCTCAGCATCTAGTATTTGAGTTTCCTGTATAGCGATGAAAGATAGATTGTGTACCGACCTTAATCTGCGAATCCAGGAGACCTTGTGATCCTCCCCCATCCCCCTGATATTTAACGACAAGAAATTCATTGTAGACCTTCTTGCTCACCGTTGCCACTAAGGACTTCGACCAACACCGGATTGTCTGGCTGAATGTCGAAACCGATTATGGCTCCCATAACTGCTGTAGCTTCAATTTCTGGAACCACAAATGAAGGCGCCAACCCTGGATTCAAGTTTAGGTCGGGATCAGCTGAAGCGGGGCATGTGTGAGAAGTTTGATGATCGATAGGATGATCTGGGTTCATACTCACGGCGATATTGAAGGATGATTGAGGGTTGTGTTGCGGAAATTCCATGTCCGGAGCGAAGTCAGGGAAAAGATTGATTGGGGATAGATTACACCCAGACATGGAGCTATGGCACCTTTTACGTTTGGCAGATGTCCGACATTTCAAGGGCTTGTCACCGGCAATGAGATTAGAATTATTTGCTAAGGGAGATGAGACAACGGAGGGAAAAGGCCCAAAACAACCTGATTGGGCCAAGTTGATAGGAAAATTAATGGGCTCCATATGGGTATCTGTACCCACCAACTCCGATCCATTTCTAGTCCCACACTCTGAGGTGTCCACTTTCTTATGATCTGCCCCAGAATAACAATTGACGTTACATTCCTTTACAACAGGATTTATGGGAGTCGGTTCCTCTTCCCCATGCACAAAGCACTCACGCAACTGTTCAGAGTCCAAGGCAATTGCCGGAGAACTTTGATCGACACCTTCAACCACCTCGATTGGCTCACCAACCGTTAACTCACCTACCGGTTGCAGAGCGCCGCCCGCCGGAGGAATCGAAGGAGTAGGAGCATCTCCACACTCCACCCGACGAATTTCGCCATCCTCAAGTTCCATGTCGTCCGTCTTATTCTCGTTGTGATTATAGTCATCCCTGAAGTGATCATCCTCATCATTCTTGGGTACGTTTGTGTCATCATCTTCCGATTTCCCACTAAACGAACTTTTCTCATCGGACTCTGATTCATAGGGATCATTCTCATTTGCGAAGACGAAGGGAAACCAAGGTTCATCTTCATATTCCACCACCCCCACTTCGAAAGTTCTGCCCTCAATCTCAACTTGAACTATCTCATTGAGCTTTTTCTTTTCCCCTGTCAAGATTCCAATTTTTACAACAGAGAGATCCATTCGTTCCTTGATATTATCAAATGGAACCCAAAAATTAACAATTGTTTGATATTAAGACTTTGACAATTTAAAATTAAATAGCTATTTTTGATAATTTAAAGATGGAATATTATAAAACAATAGGCCGTGAGTAGTTGAGATATAATGTTATAAAACAATTTTTGACAATTTCAAATTAAATACCTATTTAATTTTTTTTGCATCGGAAAGAAAAAAATTAGCATGGGGAAGGTAGAAAGCAAATTCTCTTTCTCATTTTTTTCGTTTTTTAAAATCTGGAAAAAAAAAAAAAAAAACTTTTACACGCTGGATGGTGAAAAGTTACGAACCTCTTAATCATTACTTAGGTGTTGTTTGTTTTTTCTGAGGCAACATGTCTGCAGTCTGCGGACCACATCTGTAGACCTCTGCAGTAGAAGAGGTGGACCAAACGTCTGCAGTCTGAAAAAAGAAGACTGTTTGTTTTTTTAACATCTGCGGGTTATTAAAATAAACTGAAATCTAAATAAACTGATTTTTTTAAACTTTAAAGCGAATTTTTTATATATTTTTACGACTTTATTATAAATATATAACGAATCTAGATCAACTTTTATGTATTATTATATAAAAAATAAAAATAAAAATGGTATTAATTCATATACATATGTGATAAAAACCAACAACTTTGATTGCAAAGTTATAACTAAACATTATAATTAGTGATCAAAGAATTTGATACATAAATAGATGGAAATAAACTTCGATTTTTTCAAATAAATCTATTAAAAACGTACGATAAATATTTTCTCGAGAAATTGATGATACTCTATTAAATAAAGTTTTACAAAATTTTGGCAAAAAAATATAAGAATATATTATGATTTTTTTTTCATATTTATATAAACAACTTCAACGAATATTATTATAATAAATTTTTATTTATAAATTTGTTAAAAATATCATGTTTGTATCGTCAAATGTTTTTTTTTAAGTTTTGTAATTTTTTTTTCATATTGTTTATCATTAATAAAGTTGGAAAAAATATAAATTAAAAAAAAAACTTTAAAAAAATAAAGATATATATGTTTTTTTAAGCTAAAAGATGTCTGAAGATGTTAGAAGACTCTGGTCCACATCTGCGCCAAGAAGAGGGCGCGCAGACATTTTTAGGTCTGCAGTCTTCAAAAAAACAAACAGTCTGCGAAGACTAATGTCTGCGCGTGGTCTGCACGGCGCAGACAGAAGACGTCTCGCAGATCTGCAGACAAAAAACAAACACTACCTTATAGTAATGGTTGATGTTTTCGAACATAAAATTGAAATATATGACCTATGAAGTAATTTTTGAAAAATTGTATTTATGGTCATAGTTCATAGTTTTTATATTTCATTTAACTTTATAAAATTATTAAATATTATATTTTATGTATAGCTTATCATATTTTAAAACCCTTTTGTTTTACCTTTATCTTAATCATTACAAGTGATCATTTCTCAGCTGAGTGTTGGAATAAAAGATGGCATCGACGTTGGTGAAATTGGAACAAATGGATTTCTAATAAAAGGAAAACTTGGTATATGCATTCTGTTTATATAATTTTGCAATTTGTTTATATATTTATGCTTTCATTGTATGTATGTTTGATATGGTTAAAGTTTTAGATCTGGTTGTTTTAGATTTATGTATTTGCATTCTGAATAGTTTAGATTTTGTTGTATGTTAACAAAAATTTAGGTATGGTTATAATTATTTAAATGGGTAAATGATACAAAAAAAACATTATTTTTATACAGAAATTCGATTTTGACACCGTTTTTTTTTTGTATCAATTTTGACACTGTGTTTTCCAATTTGTTATAATTCTGACCACTTGACCGGTTAACCAGGTTGCATGCTGACGTGGCATGATGATGTGACATGTTGACATGATATGCTGACGTGTCAAAATTGATTTTTTTTTTCTACAAAAAACACTAAGTTTTCACTTTTTTTTTTCGATTTTGACACTAAGTTTAATTTTTTATTTCAATTTTGACACTATGTTTTTTTTTTTTTGTTACAATCGAACATAATTTATCAAATTTTGTTCATTTTTGTCTATTTTCCATTTGATACCATATAAATATATTTTTTTCTATTACATTTTAAACCGTATAAACATATTTTTTCTTTTAAAAACCACATTTTTATTTAGATACAAGGTGTTTTTTTCTTACATTCAAATGATTAGTTATATTATGAGAATCAAACTAACCATAAGCTTCTAATAAGATGTAAAAATTTGATGGGTTGCAAACTTGATATCCGAGTTTTGATTGACTACACACCTCCAAACACATTTTAAAGTTATATATTTAATATAAAATACAATTTTTATATAACTAATACATATTTATACATAAAAATATGGTTTGAGTGTAAAAAAAATGTGTTTATACAAAACTATGGTTTTTAAATGAAAAAAAACATATTTATACGGTTTAAATCTATTAAAAAAGTATTTATACGGTTTAAAATAGAAAATTGTCAACATTTAACAAAATTGGAAAAAATGATGTTCGATTTGGAACAAAAAAACATAGTGTCAAAGTTGAAAGAAAAAGTTAAACTTAGTGTTAAAATCGAAAAAAAAAAATGAAAACTTAGTGTTTTTTGTGAGAAAAAATTCAATTTTGACACGTCAGCATATCATATCAGCATGCCACGTCATCAAAACTAACACGTCATCAAGCCACATCAACATGCAATCTGGTTAACCGGTCAAGTGGTCAGAATTGTAACAAATTGGAAAACACAGTATCAAAATTGACACAAAAAGAAACGGTGTCAAAATCAAATTTCTATGTAAAAAAAGTGTTTTTTGTACCATTTACCCTATTTAAATTTGGTTGTGATATAAAAAAATAATACTTTTCAAAATAACATTATTCTAGGCTTTACAGTTTTGTAAACAAAATGGAATCATAAATTTATATTTATATTACAACAGATGTTAAAATTTAATGCTATAACATGCATCCTCATTCAAGTTATTGATACGAATATCTTTTATTTAAATAAAATTAACTAATGCTTAGTCAAAATACAATAACATTTTTTTAAAATTATTTATATTTATAGACAAATAATAAACTAAATCCAAAAAACCATTAAAATTCTTAAAACAATCATAAAGACGGTTTTGCGTTTTAGATGTGCAGGGTTAAAATGCTATTATATCTACACTCCAAAACTATGTCAAGTTATATCAAATGTTATTATATTATGAATTATATAAGAGAATTAAATTAATAGTTATGAAATTAGTAGTTTAAACAAAAAGTTCAATATATGGAATTTCTTTTCAAGCGTCAGGTTGGTACTTTATATAATCTAGATGGTCTAAATGTAATATTTATTTTTGATAAGGACACTGATTGATAATAATAGTAACGAAAAGGGGGAAGTTTAATAATTGTAATTGGTATGTTTGGGTTTGTAATCCTTTTGACATTTTGTAGCTGTGTTGTTTTTGTTTTTGCCCTGCCTTTGCCTCGTTAGGCTGTGGCTTTAATAAAATTCCCTGCCGGTTCAAAAAAAAAAAAGTAACGAAAAGTCTAAAAATGTAATTTTTCACATTTTTCAAAATATTATTGCATGCATGGGGAAATTACATACCTAGATAAATGGGTTGAATGTTTTGTTAAATTAATATTATTTCAAAAACCTTCAACCTAAAAAATGAATTAACTATTACTGTATTAATGAACCATTAGACTTGTAGTTTTGGTTATTTAGGGAGATGATTTTGGTAGCTTCATGTTTAACCTAACATGGAGGGAAAAGTAGCAAAGATGCCATGAATGTGAGAATTGAGATCATATACCTTATCTGCAACATAGGAGTGTGGCCTACAGATAAGATAAATGAACCCAACTCTTCCATGATGCAAATGGTTAGATAGTCATGGAGTTGACATCATTTTTAAAATCCGATAACCATATATTATCATAGGAGAGCAATGGACGAAGGAGGAGACTGGACAGAAGTGCACCGGAAACGTCAACCAAGAACCAACAACAGTGATGCAAACTGTATTACTACGATCTACGTAGCGGGATTTCAAGGAGATACAACGAAACCGGAACTGTGGAAACTATTCGCTAGGTATGGAACAGTGACAGATGTATACATGGGGGGGGGGGGGTAAGAAAGACGCACAAAGGATGAACTTTGCCTTCGGCAGATTCAAAGACGTGGAAGATGAACAGGCCCTAGAAAAGAAACTACAAGGGATGAACCATCACGGGAAGATCCTACAGGTCAACATCTCAAAACATCCAAGGAAAACTCAGAGAACCCAGTATAGAAACCAATACAAGAGAGATGCAACACAAAGTCATGCCCCCAAAAAACCATTCGAGGTCAGAGATGGAAGATCATTTGCACAGGTAATTTCAAGGAAACATGGGAATTATTCTACTCCTATGCATGCACCGCCTCCTCCACCCCCACCCCAACCCCCGATGACCATGTTAGATCCTCAGACTGAACTGGGGAATTGGTTAAACAATAGATTCTTAATCGGGGATTCTCACAACATTGATCATATGGCAAACTTGCCATCCTCAATGGTGTTATATGAAAAAACTAAGTACCTGGGTGGGTTAAGATTAACCATGGAATTTGATAGTTCAACGTTGGCGAAAGAGTTTCTTGAAGACCAAACCAGATGGAGAGACTGGTTCAAATGGTTAATCATGGCGGATAAATAAAAATTTCAGTATGAAAGAGTAGCTTAGTTAAAAATTATTGGTCTCCCGCATAAGCTATGGGGGGAAGATAACTTTCCAAGATTGCTAGCATTTATGGAAAAGTAATATCCCCCTTTAGTGACATTAGAAACAGAAGAGATTGCTCCATGGGTAAGGTTGGAGTGTTAACTTCTGAAAAGAAATGGATTAATGATCAAACTAATGTATGTGCCATTGGTGAAATATTCAGTATCGGTGTTGTTGAGTATATCGACGATTGGTCC